GAGCCTCTCCTGCCTCCACAGCAGTGAGAAGCTGGCAGTCAGACATCCCCTGAGGGCTCCTGGACTATGAGAGGGCACAGGCTGGGCTGAGGGACCCCCCTTCCTAAAGTGCATAAATTTCATGAACCGGGCCTCTAGTAATAAATAAACATGCTGCAATAATAATGATTATAGTAGGAATGAAGAAGTAAGGACTGCCTTAACCGGTCTGGCTCAGAGGATAGAGCGTTGGCCTGCAGACTGAAGAGTCCCTGGTTCGATTCTGGTCAAGGGCATGTACCTTGGTTGCGGGCACATCCCCAGTTAGGGGCTGTACAGGAGGCAGCTGATCGATGTTTCTCTCTCATTGATGTTTCTGACTCTCTATCCCTCTCCCTTCCTCTCTGTAAAAAATCAATAAAATATATATATTTTTAAAGTGTCAAAAAAAAGGACTGCTAAAACTGATCTATTGAAAGAAAAAGTGAAAGGACTTTGTATTTAAAAGATAAAGTATGTGAAAATGAAAATAATTATTTCAAGTCTACATACTAAAAGAAAATTCACTTAGTTTCAGAGCTATAGCAAAATACTGATAAATATCAGTTTTCAGAAAGAACATTCTATAAAATTGGCTCTACCATCTCTTGGTTTAGCCAAATCCCTTTTCCTAATCCAAATGAATATGTATATATGGGATCTCATAACTAGAATTATACACAACTTGAAGATGGCTCCTCATGTAGAAAGTAAAGGATTCTCTATTCAAGGTATAAGAAATTGTGTCATTACCATAGATCTGTGCAAAAATGCTTTTCACTTCATCATTAGTAGACTTGCTTAGCTATAATGTAGCACATATGTCTATTCTACTCCTAATGACTTCAAAAAATATTAATGAGATTTTGAAGTTACTTTACAAAGAATGATTCTGAAAAATTATCTGTAAGGATATTTAAATAATAAACTCAAGGCTTTAATAATATTAAGATAACTAGATGTGTATTTGCTTATAACAATAATATAAAAATATTACTAATCCATTATAAGAAGACTTATATGGCACTTAAAAGACACAACCCTGACCGGGTGGCTCAGTTGGTTGAAGCATTGTCCCATACACCAAAAGGTTGTGGGCTTGATTCCTGGTCAGGGCACATACCTAGGTTGCAGGTTCAATCCTGGTTAGAGCATACAGGAGGCAATCAATCGATGTTTCTCTTTTATATTGATCTCTCTCTAAAAGTCAATTTTAAAAAAACGTATCTTCAAATGAGGATTATAAATAAATAAATAATGCTAACCTTGTCTCTTGAAAAAAAATTTTGCTAAGCAATATTCAAAGTTTCAATTTAACTGGTTCTATAATTACCCATTGAGTTGGTATACCATTAGTTACTTAACAATTTTTAAAACATTGGACATGTAGGTCATTTTGAATTTCTCATCAGCACAGACAATGCTAAAATAAATACTATTTTATCTAAATTTTTTCTTCTAATAAATAATATCCTTCAGAAGAACTTCTAGACAAAAAGTAAGTATATTTTTTAAGGCTAGTGATGTGTTTCCATATTACTTTGTTAGAGTGATGCTAATTTTATGCCACTAATGGTGTATAATGTAATAATTTTGCTATTACCATATGTGATCAGTAATGCTATCATTTAAAAAGTTGGGTGGTAGGATTAAAAATGGTGACAGAGTCAGCGGATGCTGCATGGACATGCTCCCAGGACAAAACTGGAATTACAACTAAAATACAAGAAAACTTCCTGAATAACCAATGGAAGACTCACTGGAGAGAACCCTGTTAACCGAGAACCGAAAGTGGAGATGGCATAGAGACTGGTAGGAGGGGCAGAAGTGTGAAAGGGCTGGCCAGGCTCCCACAGACAGCAACTGCAGTTCCTGAGAGATACCTCAGCTGTGGGGGGTTGCCCCTCAGAACTCTGGGGTCTAATTCCCAGGCTGTGCCCCCCCAGCAGAGAGCATCAGAACTGAGAAGGGTACCCACACAACATCTGGCTATGAAAAGCAATAGGGTTGCTGTCTGCCAAGGAGAGACAGCTGGAATCCAGGCACCCTCTTAAAGGGCCATTGCACAAAATTCCCTGTGGAGCTACTCACCTTGTGATCCGGCAGAGTGGACTGGAGCTGTGTGAGCAGAAGCCAGGACCAGGGACTTTGGGGTTAAGCTCAGAAGGCTTCCTGTGCTGAGTCATTCCCTCATGCTGTGGAGGTCATCTTTCTCACACAGACATTTGCTATATAAGTGGCTTGCATTGGGGGAAGACAGTTGATCCACCCTATTGGAAAACACCTTAACCCAAGGTGCAGAGTTTCTGAAGCCCAATAAAAGACTGAGAATAACTATTAGGATCCAGGCAGAAGAAATTGCCCCACCCTGTTAAAAAACAAACGAACTCTTGCCACATCTGTGGACAATTGCCTGTGGGCAATTCAAGACAAAATCCTATCAGTCTGTTAGGTAGAGACATTCTCTGGAGGCTTTGAGTCTTTGCCTGATCTAATTAGACAAAAACAGCATTTGACATTGTCCTGCACTAAAGATTGAGAGGCATAGCAGATCAGCCTAATACATAGTAACAAGCCCAAATATGCAGCCAAAATGAGAAGACAAAGAAACAACCCCCAATGAAAGAACAAGAAAATTCTTCAGAAGAAGAGATAAATGAAATGGAGATAAGAAATTTACCTGATATAGAGTTCAGAATAATGATAGTAAAGATGATCAACAGCATAAGAAAAGATATAGTAACTATGAAAAAAAAATAGACTCAGGATTTGGAAACAGATTCCCCTGAGTCACTGTACTAGTACATCTGAAAATAAAGTTTTCCTAAAAGAAAAAAAGAAAAGAACAGGAAACAGAAATAAAGAATGACATAGCACAAATAAAGAACACATTAGAAGGAATACACAGCAGATTAGGGGAAGCTGAGGATCAAATCAGGGTGGAAAAAAATCATTCAGAGAACCAAAAAGAAAAAAAAAATTAAAAATCAGGAAGACAGCTTAAGAGAGCTGTGGGACAACATGAAACATAATATTCAAATAGCAGAAGAGGCGCCAGAAGAGGCAGAAAGGGATAGAGAAGGGATTTGAAGATATAATGGTAGA